CCTCGGTGGGCTACCCAGCAACGTCGTTTCTTATCGGGATTCGCGGAGGCGAGTCCCGTTTACAAGAGAGAGCAAACGCTCCTTTTGCTGTCAAGAAAGAGTTTCGCCGTGGATAAGTCCCCTTGCCACCCCCCGCGGCGAGCGCGGTATCCCGGAACAATGAGCCTGTGACAGCTCCGGCCGGTGCCTGCGCGCCGGGAAGCCCCTTCCCGGCCCCAGAACGGCCCTCGCAAACCCGGGCCGCGCTCCTTGGATGGCCACAGGCCACCGAAAGTAGATTTCAGTTGGGGAAGCTGTCGACGTCGCTGCATTTTCAGGGGTGTTGCCCGAAATGACTTGAATTTCTACGGGAAGGCAGCAGCAGTGTTGAATATATATGGGAAGGCAGGTTATCCTAGTTCTGGATCCGGTTGTAATGAAGCAGCAGAACTATCCCGGGTTGAAATGAAAGTTCACCTTTCTTCCTGGAACAAAATATTCGTTGTAAGAAATCTGAGAAGAGCAGATCCACATTAATATTGCCTGCTAGAGCTTTATAGCCGTGTCTTGTGCCCATCTGCTCGATTCTTGAAGGCCAAAGTTATATAGGCCTCATGTTAATTTTTCTTTCACTCTAGTATTAAATCCTGCCAGTTTTAATAGATCTGGATTTGTGAAGCATTTCTGTAAGAAATGGAATCTCATGTTAAGAGTGCCCACCCAAGAACTGATTTGGATGCACCGTGTTGAGTTTGTTATCCTTAACATCTGTGATAACCCTCTGCAAACAAATTCCAAAACAATTCTCCAACAGGAGAAGAATACAGGATTTTTCTCAGTTACTAGTTGTAGGTAAACTTCAACAGTGCCATGACAGCATAGTTAGCAATATTAGAGGCTTGTTAACATTTGGCATTATCTCCTAAGGTTTGTTTCACAATAGAGTTGCCTGCCTCTCCCAAAAGTCCAACCAAAGTATTCAAGTTTTACAACATAATTATCTATAATTATATAGAATGGGATGTTTTCCTGATTACTTGACCAGAAATGGCTTTAGTGGGTTTTTTTTTGTTTGTTTGTTTGTTTTCTGGGAGGGTGTTGTTACAATTTTAATCTGACTTAAGAGTTCTATCCTACACAAAATGTATAGACAAATTTTTAAGTTACTAGAGTTACAAGCTGAGGGCTACTTGCAGCTAAGCTAAGATAAAAGTATTGTGTTTTACTTCACAGGAGAGCTGACTTTAGGATACACACAGAGACCCATGCTATTTTTATGCTTGTGAAAAAGCCCTTGCAAAAACAGTCAAGATTTGAGAACACTGAAGATAAATAGTGTTCTTCACTGTCAGTCAAGCTCAATGGGTCCACCTCTTGGTAGTATGACAAGCACTATAGGTCACTTTTTAGCACAAGTTGTAGTTTAGGAATAAAAACTTAACCATCCTGTAGAATCTGCCCTCTAAAGACCGCTTATATTTTCATATATAGTTCACTTGTTAGATACAGAAATACTTTATACCTTGTCTAAATAGGACAAAAACATCCTTAAAGAAACCCCTCAGGTTCCACCTTGCGGAATTCCACAGATAGTTCCATTCATTACTCCTGAAATACTTGAGCAGGAGATTCAGAATAATGCATTTTAATGTGGAAATGTTAAGACAATTCCTTAAAACAGATTATCTGTACAGTAACCATTGTCCTTTTTGCTCTTATATGGGAATATTGAGAGGATACTCAGAATACTGGGGAGGGGCGGAAATCAGTCTGCTATCTGAATTTTAATGTTTAAATTTCTACTCTAGTGAAATACTACTCCATGAAGACAAATTATTATCAATAGACTATTATTTTAATAATAAATTTTAAAAGTGACCTCTTTGAAATTCTTGCATTATTTTTGCAGAGATCTCACTATGTATTATGAAGTAATGTATGATAAAATGGTCTCGGGCTGTTTTTGTAAAATGATTTTACACCCCTGGAATTGTTTTACTGCATAGCTTTAAAGACTGCTACCAACTTGTAAAATGATAATTTAAACTGCTTGCAGAAGTACTGTCTTTTGAGGGGGGGAACGTGGGGAAGTGAGAATTACTTTTTTTTTTTTTTTTACGATGCTGTTCTTTCTTCTTGACTCGGTAATTAATTTACATGTTATCAAGAAAGAGTGGTTTATAGAAATCCTTGTGCATTGATTATTTGGTGGTTGGTTGTTTTTTGAGTAGAAAAAAAAAATTGATGTATTTTCAAAATAATATACATGGATCTTTCTTTCTAGCCTCTCCTGAAGCAGTCACCCTGGAGCAATCAGAGTAGCGGCTGGAGCACAGGAAATATATCCTGGGGAGGAATGCATGGCAGAGACCATCGTAGAACTGGAAACATGGGAATTCCAGGAACTATGAACCAGATCTCTCCTTTGAAGAAGCCCTTTTCTGGTAATGTCATAGCTCCTCCTAAATTTACTCGCTCCACTCCATCACTGACACCAAAATCGTGGATTGAAGATAATGTTTTCCGAACTGACAACAACAGTAATACTCTCCTTCCTTTGCAGGTAAGGACTCTTGTGTAACATGTTCGTAGTCTTGCTTAGCATTTTGGCTTCATTCATTTTAAAGGAGAATTAAACAGTGGCTAGAGCCGTGATAATTGATTTGAAAATGGTGTATTTCTATATTATTTTTAGTCCTAAATTGCAATTAATCTAAACATTTTCAGCATTCAGAAATAATGATTCTCATAGTTAATTAAGAATGTTGACAGTCAAGAAGGATAGAAACTGTAGCAGCTTGATGCAGCAATAGAGCAAAATATGGTTAATCCAGCAAGTATTTTCTGCTTATGGTAATGCTTGTATTCTTACAGATCTCATTAGAAATCGAGGGGTTTTTTTGCTTGTCCTCGGATATAGTGTTTCTTACTTTTGTAGATGGCTCCGAGTCTGTCATGGTCATCTTTTACTTGTATTCTAGGCTGACATGTGCATGTTAGTGAGATTTTGTTCCTCCACATTCTAGCAAATTTTGTTACATTTTGTCTGGAAGCCTTATGATTTTAAATAGGAGGGTGTATCTTAGAACTAAGGATCTGGATTCACCTCCTGAATTTAGCCAGTGACATCTTATGTGACTTTAGGTAGGTCACTTAACTCCAGCCTCAGTTACCTGTTATTTTTCCCATTCCTGCCTATATTGATTAATCATAAAGGTCTCTGCTAACAAGAAACATTATTTTTGAATCCAAATCTCAGTTGAAATTGTAACAATTTTTATGTTTTGTGTGGGGTTGTTTTTGTTACAAATAAAGCTTGAGCAAGTTATTTTAGAAATGGTGCATTTTAAAATTAATTCTGTAAATTCTTTAATTTTTGTTACACCTGTGTCAGCTTTGGATTTTCTTACACTGAGCTACTATGTTCTAGCAAAAGTAGAAAATATGCAAAGAAAATAATTAGAATGTTTCTTTCCCTTCATATAAGACTGCTATAGTTTTTACTTTGGTTTCATACAGAGTAACCTAAAAAATCATTAGTGATAATTATGACCATATTTGAGTCTATACAGCTGTATTTGCATCAACTAGCAAGTTAATCCCTATATAGCTGTAGTAGCGGCCAAAGGGTGATCCCTGGGTCCAGATATCCCACTGGAGTTTTTATTTTCTTACCATTGTGCTGGTGGAGTTCCATTTGGTGCAAGAGGCCACATCCCAACTATATCCAGGTGAACTCTGATACTTCTGGTATTCTTGAGGCTAATGGTGACTATTGGAAATACCTAAATTCTGCTCCAGGTGTGTTCATTGGACCTGCAAACTTAATATTTGCGTGTACCTTGAAGACCTGTTCCATTAAGTAGCCTTGCTAGCTGGAGTATCATAGTTGGATAATTTTTGTCAGGGTGGAAAGGTTGGGAAAAAGGTGTCATTCTGCGCTTTCAGCCTGGTCTGTTGAGGAAAACAGGTGACAGATGGGTAGTGCTTTGCAGGGGAGGGCTCTGAGAATAGTTTGAAGTAAACACTGAAATGTCTCCTGAAGATGTTAACCTGAGGAGCAGGGTTAAAAATATTAATGCCCTCATGTGATGAAACTGCAGTGACATATACATCTGAATTCATATGCAGCTAAGCTCAACTTGTGAACATATTTACTTGTTCAATATGCCTTAGAAGTCAGTATGACTAATACTTTGAACTTTCAGAAGCTTCCACAGTGGTCATCTAATATAGATGAACTCATGATTAAACAAAACCCTTGTGCGTTCAAGCTATAAATAGTTTCTATCTAGTAGGGTAGAACTTGCAGTTTAACTTTTATTATAAATCAGATGAATGTTTGCATTTGGGGATTGTTGGGTTTTTTGAAGAGGCAGTATCAAAGTGAGAAGGTGGGCATACGTAATTGTTGTTGGTCTTACCTGTGAGCAGAGGAGCCACCAATGAAATAGACCCGTTTGGCTATATTTATGCTGTAGATCTTAAATCTCCCTTACATGTATGAAGTCATAATTGCAGAACACAGTAAAAATAATCCTCTTTGAAGTGTTGCTGTGTTATCTACTACTATTGTGGAAGCACTAGATGTTTCCGTAAATTAGTTGCTTTCACTGAAGTAGTGGTCTTATTTTTCAGCTATTACACTATCATTGTGGTTAATTCCTTGTGATGACTGTTATATTTTGCAAGTCATAATGAAGAAGTTAAATAGAGCGTGGAGCTCATGCTTCTTTTCAGCAGACGACGCTGTCAAACACCCGTCTTGCTAATTTGTACTCTGCTTGTCTCCTTCCATAAAAGGCTGAAGTATTTAGATTGAGGATTCTTAAAGATACAGTAGCGATTTCAGAAGATACTAAAAAAATAGCAGTAATTAAATGTGTGCCATTTGGAGAGTTTGGCACAAGTCATTTATGTGTACGTAGAAGTTACATATCTTCCAAGCTTCCACAGAGCAACACATCTTGATGTGCACGTTGAGTACACTCTGCATCACTCAGATCTGCAGAACACTTTTCTGCATTGTCACGCATCTTCGTTTTAACTGCAGTAATCACTTTCTATGGCAGGGCACAAAGCACCTCTCCTCTGAACTTTAGCTAGCTGAAGCTTAGCAAATGAAAACAGCTTAGAAAGGCCAGTGTCTTCACTGACTAACTTTCTGCAGATCATTAATGTTCTATTTTTTAAAATGCTGTATATGTTTTGCCAAGTCCGAATGGCATTCCGCGGCGTCAGCTGCTTATACAGTTTCTCTAAAACATGTACCTGGTGCAAACAAGATACATCAGAGGAGTCATACACAACCTCAAAGCTTTTCATTTCCATGTAACGTCTTTATTCTTTGGTGTTTGCATTGATGAACAGTCCCCAGCAGAGACACCAATTCTGATGGAGATGTTTTCTTGGCATTAATATACCAGTGACAATGAATGTCATTGGTGATAACTGAATAAGTAATTGTGTATTACTTAAAGGGATGAAAAGAGATTTTCTGTACTTTATAGTTAAAGCTGAAACATATCCTATGTGGTTAGATTCACAGTGGTTACATTAGTTACAGCCAAGCTGCTTTTGCTTACAGCAGTTAGAAAGGCCATCTCTTGGGGAATTTTCCAAAGTTTGCGAATTCTTGTTTTGTTTTTAAATAAAAAGTAGGGAAACATCGTAGCAACACTGATCTAAACGTGAGCAAATTAAGCCAATAGCCAAGTTCTACTAATGTGACTCACTGTAAGAAGCTTTTCTTCGCCTTCAAGTTTTTAAGATAACACAAACTACATCAATTAAAGGATTTTTTTTCCATAGACAAAATTATGTCTACAAGTTTTAAGTTCTGCCACACTGCTTGCAGCATTATAGCTGCTCTTGTATGGGAAGGATTGCTGCCTTGTACCAGAATCATTAAGGAACAATTAGAAATCTTGTCAGGTATTCACACCATCTAACTTAAGCATTTAATTGAGGAGCCTATTTCTCTCTCCGTAGAGAGAATCTAGGCTCCTTACTTAGATAATCTAATTCTCTGGAAGAACATACCTGGCTCCACTGACCTTATATAGCCCCTGGGAGTCCAGTTTAGGCACTTAGGTGGCATGTCATGGAGTTAGACAATATGAATATTCTCCCTTATTCCCTGATCTAAAGTACAAAAAAAAAAAAATACAGTGCAAAGCTAAAAATATATTTCAAAAATTAGGGACTGTTTTGTTTAGGTTTTTTTTTTAATGCTTTAGTCATTTCTGTAGCCAAAACGCAAGCACAGAAATCAGCCTTTTTGTATATTCATTTTTTTTCATTTATATTCCTTGGATGAGGAAAATAACCATTTGTGTTTTTTTAAATTGCAGTATCTGCTAGTCCTATTTTGATTGCAAGCTTAATGTTTCTTAATATCTTGCAAATAAACTCACTAAACTGTTATAACAGTTTAATAATTCACATCAGTGTTACACATTTCAGTATTTCACTATTTTCATTCTAGTAAAAGCGTTCTATGAATATGAATTTAGTTTCTGTGTCTTTTTTGAGTTGAGGAAATACACTGCATGTCTGAATGTTTTTCACCTTGATTTGTCCTTCCTGTTTGTTCAAACGAACAGTACATGTAATGTTCGTGGCCCTAAATGCTGAGCTTTGTTGTTCTACATTTGAACATGGCTCTCCAGATGGGGATTTGTATGGCTAGGTACCATCTCGCACAGATGTAGGTTTTTCTTTTTCTATTTTTTTTTTTTCAAATATTCTTAAGTTTTCAAAGAAAACAAAACACTTGCAAAGCTAAATGAGTTTTAAGACTGAAGTCAAAATGTTAGTTTCAGATATTTAATTTAAACTGCTGTCATGTTGCATCTGTCACGGTTGTTTCCCTTCAGAGGGTTTCAGATCCTCACTATGACAGTTTTGGTATAGTTTAAATGGCTAATCTAAATGATACAGATATCAGTCAATATTAGATGATGAGCAAGTTGCTAAAGTTGGGTTCTTAATGCCATGCTTAGACTCCTAAATAGATGGCCTATTTCTTCAGAAGTGCTGAATGTTTGGCAGCTCATGTTAAACTTGAAGGTGTTGGTGGTATCTAGTTGCCAAGTTCTTTTAGTCTTCAGGCTACTGTAATTGTCCAAACACTGATTTATAAGCCAGGCTTAATCAGTTCGTTTTTACCAAGGCAACACCTGCTACAGAACAGTGTCTTCAAGACTTTTAATGCAGTAGATTGATTCCCTGGTGCTGATTAAATAACACAAACCCAGCTATTTGAGTCTGAGGACTGTACTGGGGACATCCTTAACTGCAGAAAATGTTCTACTGCCATACTTTATAACTTCAGGATCATCACCTTCATCCCAATAAACAGTATTAGGAGCTGCACAGATGAACAACTCAAAGGAATCAGTTAGCAGAAAGCTTGTAGCTTACTAAGCAAATGTTTTTGACTTTTTATGAACTAAGAATTCTCTCCTACTGTTAAAATTTGCTGCAGTTATACAGCTAGATTTAGAAAAATTCAACAAAATATTTAGAAGCTGTGACAGTATAGCAATGATATATACACTA